ACCCAGCCACAGGTAGCCGGAGCCCGTCATATTGAGCATGGCTGCTGATCTGTACACCGTGGCCGCATCATCCTCACTGCAACGAGAAGAAGGGAACGGCGACATGGCTCCGGGTGCCCTTTCCTCCCGTACTGGATCCCAAAGGGGTGGCAGGGCCAGGTAAAACGCATCCCCAGGCAGCTCTCCTCTGATAACTTGTTCTCCTGGGCGATGGTCAATTCCTTGATGGGATGGGAACCTTTCTCTCAGCTTCATCTAAGCACCCAGCACCGCTGAGCATCTGCCCATCTGGCTCATTCCTTATTGCTCATCACCCACAGGGGTGGGGGCAAGACTCCCCTCCGTCATAGGTGAATCAGGGGACATCACCAGGAACTACCGTTGCTTCTGCAGCAGCTAAAACTCGGCAGGACAGCCAGACAGCTCACCTACACTCATGATTACAAGCTCTCCAGCCAAGCCAAGCACCCACCACCTGCAAGCCCACAGGAGGTGGAGCTTAATGAGGGTTTTTTTCTCCCATGACATGCCCCAGCTCTATGCGGACCCTGCCTTGGGGAAATCCAAGCAGGGAGGGGAAGGGAGGGCTCTGTCTTACCTGGCGGAAAGGATGATGACTCGAGCCTCCAGCTCCTTAGCCTCCAGCAGCAGCGACGTCACGTTTTTGGTTCCAGGGTCAAACTGAAGCACTTTCTCAGCCTGTGATCAGTGTGAGCAAAGCTGGTTAGTGTGGGAGCCCCAGGACTGCTTGTGAGAGCCATGCTATCTAGAAAAGGGTCAAGAGAATTCATTAAACTGCACAAAAGTCTGCTAAATAAGGTTGGTTTTAGCTACTTTTTTTCTTTTTTCTTTGCTTTCTTTCTTTTCTTTCTTTCCTTCCCTTCTCTTTTAAGGTTTTGGCTTTTTGGTTGATTTTTTTCTTATTTTTTTTTTTATTTTTGCACTGTGCATGCAAACTGAAGTCAATCAAGACCCAAAAAGAGGCGTGCATTGTACAGGAAAGAGAAAAAGGCTTTGAAATGCAATTGAAAACTCAAGCGAGTGTTGTTTTTCAAAAACATGGGAAATGAAAAAAACATATCGCACAGGGTTAACCTTTGGGAGTAAAAGTGAGCAACTTACACCAAGGAACCGTTTCCTTTGGGGAGGAAAGGGGGTTGGTTCAACTTTTCAAAAAAAAAAAAAAAAAGAAACTTGCAAGTTAATTACTGGTTCACATGCATGTTTCAAAAAGAAATCCTTCCAGGGTCAGCTGGCTAGGTTTCCATTCTCAAGTCCAAACCAAACTATCTCAACATAAAAACGTGCTACCAAGAAACATAGTCATGGATCGTTTTTTTTTATTTCTCTTTCTTTTATTTTCTTTTTTTTTCTCTTTCTCTTTTTTTTATTTTCTTTTTTTTTTTATTATCTTTCTGGTGGCTGTGGCTACTTTTTCATTTTGCTAGTTAGGTTGGTGGGCGGCGTGCATTTCCATGCATATATACCTTGGGTCCTCGCTTGTTGTCATAGGAAAGTTGGTCGAGGTTTTCATAGTTCCTTTTTTTACTCTGATGAATAATGTGCACAGAGAAAATATGTAGACACAGAAGAATATTATAAACAGTTGAAAATGACGTGTAGTAAAGCAATCCAACATCCACCTCCTCCTCCACTGTTTGCTAAAGGGTCTCTATAACGCTGGAGCTCGCAAAAACCACTATCAGGAGAGAGTGCCTCAGCTCTCACGGGAGCGTCACGGTGCAAAGCCGTTACTGGTTAGAGCAAGCCCGAGTGTCGCAGCGGTTGCGATGCAGTTGCGCTTCCCTTGCGGGACTGGGGAATTCTTCAGCAAGACTTTATTCTTATTTATTTATTTATTTATTTATCTATTTAAATCTCAAAAACAATCTAGGCATCTCTAAGGGCCTAAGCGGCGGGATTGCCGTGGAAATTACTGCGGAAGTAAAGGACAAAATGCTGTGTACGCAAAGTGCTCGATAAATGAAAACTGTTACAGTTAAGAGTATTAGCATCACTATTAGCATCACAATCCTGCTCAGCCTAAGAGAGTTCGCACCCAGCGAGGTGCCTCAGCTGAACTTCTCACCTCCTGCAAGGAGGGAGCAGCTTTTTGGAGCTCTGTTGTCATCCAAAAGAGAAAGAAAAAGCTCTCTACGTCCCGTGCTGGCTCAAAGCGTGGCGATATGAAGCGATGGTGATCATGGGATGACATTGCAGCTTTTACCTGGTGCCTGGGGAGGGCCGAGGGCACCTCGTGGCTCTGCGGCACACGGGTGGCCCTGGGAGGTGCAGCTGGCGGGGCACC